GTTCAGCAGATGAGAACAGTAATAAAGCTGGTACAGGTCAGAGCCTGGGTTCTAACTCAAGCTTCCTGACTCCTCCAGTTTTGTAGCAAGGCATTCTAAGCTGAAATTTACACCAGGGGATAGAGTCTACACAGTCATTTGCTTAATGCAGGCACAAATGGTGCCTTATGGGCTCTTCGCTTTGCAGATAATCTGACCTTTCCTGTGTCATTCTGCCACAGTGTCCCCATCTGGGCTAGAAGGAAAACAGTAAGCTTGTATCACATTGCACAGATAAGGATCATTAAAAAATACAATGACCCCAACAGGCTTTAGAAAGGAGTAATAAATGAAATACAGAAGTACAAGTTTCAAGCTTGGCAGAGAAAAGCAACCTCACAACTTTTACTGTTATTTCTTGGATCCTTTGTAAACTGAAGTTTAGAGTTTGTGACGAGAAAATAAAGATAAGATGAAGCAAATAATGCAAACAAAATTCTCATTTCCTACAATATCCAGAGCCTTCCCAATTAAAAATCCAAATGGGAATTAATTTTGCTTCCAGTCTTAGTATATTAGTTTCCTTTGCAGCTTCCACAGTCTGGTAAACTGGTAAATAAGGATCTTGGCACAACTAAAGGAAAACTAAAGCCTTGCTGTTAAGCCTGTGATTAAGTCAGAGGGAAAAAGAGAGCTATAAAACACACAAAAAAGGGCATGATTCACAGGATCCACCGTGTCATCCTATCTTCTTCTTTATATACTGAGCTGTTAAATCACTCCTGCAAGGTTATAAACCTGTCACCACTGACAAAGCTTATTTTCATGAAAGGGTTCAAACCTTCACCTTCCCACTCATGAATTTCCTCCCTGGAAAGTAGTGGAAGCCATAGGATTCTAGACACTTATGTGTCTTAGGTTAATCATACAAAAATATTAATTACTGTACTTGTACCTGCATCAGAACTTACATACCTTCCAGCTTTAGCTCTCATTTAGAAAGATTTTTAAAACTGTTCATTTTATAATTTATTTTTGGAATTCGACCTCTTTCTTTCCCTCCATCTCCAACCCTCCCTTCACCAAAAGAGACAAAAACCTTGCATTTAGTAAAAAGTTCAGGATTACTAAAAGAATAGGATAGGCTTGATCCAAAGACTAACAAAAGTGAGAATATTTACAAGGAGCTCTGGATCAGGGTCTGTAGAGTTCTGAGACTACGTAACAATAAAAGAATCACAAAATTAAATTAATCTGCATTATGCCTCCAATCAACTTACGCTTGTTTCTGTGATATCGGTCTCTGCAGGAACACCCGGACCAAACTCCTCATTAGTGGAATCAGTTGGTTTCTCTTCATATTCTTTATATTCATAAAAATCATATTCTCCTAAATCTCCATCTACCAGCAGATCAGATTCACTGAGGTCTACTCCTCTGCTTCCATATTCAGTTTCCTCAGTTTTTCTATCATAATCCTCTCCAGTAATGTATTCTTCAGCAAATACTTCTTCAACAGGATTTTGCTATTCATATCAGTAGCAAAGATTTGGGAACAGGAGGAATATGTGGGTTATTGTTAGTAAAGCAATGTAAGCATATGCTGATCCACTATGATGACTTGTCAAAAGAAGAAAGAACAGTAGAACTGCAGCATATTGTCTTTTAATTAGAATCTGAAGGAATGGAAGTCCAGCCTTTCAGAGTAATTAAAAGATCTTTGTATAAGTAGTACAGAGAAGTAATGCTTTCCTTTATTTTTTTAAAATTTTGAAAAACATTGAATTCAATATATCCAGTATGCTATATGTACTGCTTGCTCAATGTTACTTTTGTCAAATACAGCTAAATTTCCCTGCTTGGTTTCACATTTACAAGCATTCATAAACAAACATATGCACCACAATGAGCAGTGAATAAATTCAAACCTTTTACAATAACATTGTACAGGAAGTTTAAGCATCACTTTAGTTAGGCCCAGCCTTCTTATTCTGTAAAATACTAATGCTGAACTAAATGTTTTGACTTCTTTTTTCTTGTTAATGATTTTGCAGTTTATTACTCACAAAGTCATGGTTAATGTATGTCATGGCAATTTATTTATTTTTTTGTCTGAGTGAAATTCCATCTGCAAAACTCAGATAAATTTTAACATTTCTGAAATCTAAGTTTTCATGTTCAAGTACGTAAACTGTTAAACCAAGCAACCAACTTACAAGCTCCAAAGCAGTTTAAAAGAATGCAGTATTTGAGATGTACAAAACCATTTGTGAAAGAAAAAAGGACTGCTTTATTCTGTTACAGAGGTCTCTTGAGATTATAATTTTGAAATAAATCAAAGTTCATATGCCAACATTGTCAATATGAGGTGAATATTCTAGATGGTCAGACAAGATGAACTAGTATGGTCTTAAAAAATATTAAGAAGCTAATCAACATCCAAAGTAATTAAAAATGCCTTGATCTAATCCTGATACTGAAATATATTGCAATCAAAATAGAAAGCCAGGTTCTGATTTAACAGTTGCCTAATTCCACTAGCTAGAGGACTATGAGTTTTGCCTTACAGCTGCAGTAAGTGCAGATCTGAACTAATTCTAAGCCAAATTTTGCGTTTATGCAGAACTGCTGTCACTAACGAGAGCATTTAGCACTTTGGATCTACCTCATTACAACTGTACTGTTGTACAATTGGCCTATAATTGCTCAATAAACAGATTTAAATATGGCTCTGTCAATCAATTTGTGAGAAGTAAACATGAGATTTAACACACGAACAGTTTACAGCAGAATTAGTAAATATATCTTAATTCACCTTCACCTTCCAAGATATATAGGAGGTAAATAAAAAAACAAATATGGACTCTTTTTCTCTTTTCAAATGTTTGGGGTGGATGGGGCAGAGTTTTGTACATCTTTTAAGCAACGTATCTTCATTTTGAAAGCAAAATGTCAAAGAAAAATGAAAACAGTATTTTTTATAATCAGCCATCATTTCTCTAAAAGTAGCATTAATTAATATGGAGACATATTAATCAACACTGTCTTAGGTGTAGTAATCTTAAAATAACGTTTAGGCTCCTCATTGTGGCTTTCTAAAAATACTAACATAAATCAAAATAATAATTTTGTCTTTTTTGACTGTTCAAAATACTTTTCATTTTAATAGAACCTCAGGGAAAAGCAAATACTTTGGTTTTGTTAACTGAAGAACTATTAAAAGTAAATGATGGCATGTGACTCAACTTCAATATGCTGCTACGGTTGCAGACATTCTTTGTCTTGTGTTAGGCTCATTTTATGCTGCATCTTAAGAATTACAAGGAAAATCAGAGACTTCAGTTTCTATTAGGTCAGGAGGACTATGTCTAATATTTAACCTAGTTTATACTAGACATAGCTCCATTCACATCTACACTGAATGCAACAACCCTGCATTGCCATAGCATGTATCACTGAATGATTTCCAGAACCATGAACTGTGCAGTCTATAGATTTGGCAGATCTCTACACAATTAATGGGAGCTCTGCCCAAGAAAACAGTAAGTTCTGATATTGACTGAGAAAGCATGAAATAGCATTAACTGTTGTTATAGATATACTTACACAGATGAACATTCATCCTTTTAAAATGTGTTTGTGCTTTTTAATCATTGACACCTGGTGGGCAAGTATTTTTGCCTATCATTTTCTCAAGAGTCCTTATTACCTCATTTGCTTCAGTAGTTCTGAAGGGAGCTTCTGTCTGGGGCCCGTAGTCATTTTCAGCTATGCTATACTCTTGAAATCCATCAACAACGTTTGCCTAGTATTAAAGAAAAAGTACGTTATTAAAAAAAAAGTCCTGTAGGAAAAATTCAAGAGTTATCACTTTTTTCAGGTTATGGTATTAGCCAGACATATTCATCTAGTGGGGTTAGGTATATTTTTTCTTATTATCAGAGATCTTCCAGTCTTGGCCTGGGAAAGATCTTGATTATTTCTTGGCTACCTTTACCCCTAGTTTGCCTTTTGTTGCTGCTTGATAACTTTTCTTCTTCTTGGATGCATATTTTTCAGATTTTTTTGTTGTGGCCTTTTGGGGTTTGTCCTTTGAGCTAGCGGCCACTGTCCTCTTCTTCTTTTTGACCATGGCTTTCTTTTTCTGCAAACGTTATGAAAGATGGAATGGGAAAACATAAATAAAATGAAAAGAAAATTGAGAAAGCATGAATGAAAGAAGGATAACCAAACGTGAGATGAACGCTGTCAGCGGTGAGAACTTCCATCTCTAACTAAAAGCAAGAGTTACAGCTACAGAGAAAAGAAATAAGCAAAAGGAAAACATTAAGCTTATACACAGAAGACACAAATTGACAAACCATGTGGTAGGGGACAGCTGGACACCACAGGACAAACAGATCACATTCTGTTACCTCTGTTTGTGCTACTGTCTCTTCGAACAATGAGGGTCCCTCTGTTACAGAATCAGTTTCTTTATAATCTGCATCCCCATACTCATAGTCATATTCGATAAAATCTTCTGGTGCGTACTACATTGCAAATGGAAAAATATCAGGCATTCTCATGTTAGTGGTAGCAAACTAGATTAGCAATACTGGAAAGCATCTTGACCTTTACTTAGGGGTAAAGGTTAAGAAAATTAAGGTAGTATGAACAATTAAATATAGTCATTGATTCTGGAGAAAAATACGATTTCTTATTTCTTTCAAAGCACAGTACAAAAGTAATATAAAAGCAAGTACGGGTGCCAGAAAAAACCTTTCTTTTATTGGACTGCACAGAAGAATCAACTATAGTTTGAATTACTAGGAGCACCAACTGATCTTTGTGAAATCATGTATTTATTTCATCTTTAAATTGCAACTAATGCCTTTTTACCTATACTTTTTACCTGTGTTTTTTCAGGTGACCAGAAGAATTGAGAGATGCCAATATCTGACATGAATAGGTGTCCTGCTTTTGCTGGGACTGAATTGTAGAATTTCCTTTTAGTGTTTCAGCAGTGTTCCCTTTAAATGAACACAAGTTAAAATTGGAGCTTTGGCCAGGATGGAGTTGTTGTCCTTATGAAGCTGATAAGGTTATTGTTTTCATTCACACAAGCTTCACCTGCACCTGTGGTTAGAGTTTCTTTTAGGTTGGGTTTTTCTTTCCTTCTCTCTACGCAAGAGAAAAGCAGGGAAAAGCGAGATCCCAGGACTCTCTGGGATAGGTGACCCAGGACAGATGATCCAGGTATGATCCAAGCCCACAAATGTCCCACTCACTATAAACTGTGGGGCTTTCAGGGGACGACTCCTTAAACCCTTTCCCCCTTCTCTTTCAATCCTTTCCCCTCGCGATGGTGACCCGTATCGGTTCCTGAGGCTCACTCCTCTCGTGTTGCATTTTCATTGGCGTACAGCCAGGGACTGCTGTTTGTGAGCTGAGGATAACTTTGATTGCTTTATTACCATTGTTCCTGTTCTTGTTACAATTAATTGGTAGTAGTATTATTATTTAAATTTGATTCGTTTTAGTTATTAAATAGTCTTTATCTCAACTGATGAGGTCTTTATTTTGACTCTCTTGATTCTCTCCCCCATCCCACTGGAGAGTTGAGGGATAGGAGTTGAGAAAGCAAACTGTGTGTGTTTAGATGTTTGCTGGGTTAAACCATGACAAAAGGGTAAATAATTTCAGATACAGGAAAGAAGCCACAGCTCACAAATAACCATGGCTATCTTCCTCTTGTTTGCTGGAAAGATTTCAAAACCAGGGCAGCTCCATGGTACACACTGTCTGAGAAAATGCTTCACTGGTATAATTTCATTTACAGGTCAGATCTTCAACTGCTGTAAACTGCTCCATAGCTCTGTATCTGTAATAACTAGTGTCAAATGAAGGCCCACAAAGCTTTTACAAGAGAAAGTGGATTTAGATTTGGGTTGTGTAATGCTGTGAACATAATCTAGGGAGCCAGGAACTCCTGAGCTGTAATCTTGGCTGTGCCACGAAGATATTTGCCTAGATATTATGTGCATCAGATACTCCTCCTCACAGCTGAGAAGAAAGGGCAGCTTTAAACTACCTTACCACTCCTGTCGTGCTTGAAGCTACAGAAACTGGCTGGTCTTATAACTTAAAGCGGTCTCATGGCTGCTACCATTCTCTTCACGTTCCCAGGGACCCAAATTAAGCTGGAATTGAGGCCAGAATTTGGCCAAGTGTCTGCTTTCCCTTGTTTAGGAAGAAATATTCTAATATGCCTCATGTGAGCTAGCCACTTCTGAAATCTCCTCTCCTGTTACAAGTCAGCATCACAGTCTGTAAAATGAAGACAGTATCTGTTTGCTTCATTACATTGCTGAGACATTAGTACATTACACTTCCAAATGACTCTGAGGATTCAGAAGTCATAAATATCATCAGCATCAGAGAGAGATAAATGTTATAGAAGAAATTATAAATGAGATTAAAACATCTCCATATTCCAAAATATGATCCACAATGTGACCAAATTACTGGTTTGATTGTTTGGCAAAGCCTTTTGATACAATTCTTTTCCTTAAGATTTCAGCGTGCAGGAAATACGGAGAAGTCGATTTCCTCAGGAAGTACGAGACTAACACTGAAAGGCCTTAATCACTTAAAAATCCTTTCATGGATTTCTGTTACTTCTCTCCTGTGACTCCTCAGAGTCCTACTATAACCAACAGCTTTTCTTAAAAAGAAGATACAGATATTTTTTTTTTTAAGAAGTAGAATGCTTTTTGTTTGTCTGTCCTTTAGATTATTTCTACATCCATGCACATAGAGCCTGGTTAGTCATAAGATTTGATAAACTTATAGAAAGAATGTAAGATACATTTGGTAATTGTCTAAAACTATATTGCACATCAATAAAAGAACTTCAAACTGCACTTAAATAACAAAACATTCATCATTTTAGGTGGAGAATATCCTCCCTGTGAAGTATGTTGGCGTTTTGTAACTGACTGTTATCTGATGCTTTGATTTAATCAGTGGTATCATTGGCATTGCAAAAATAAGTTGATTCTATTTATACTTTTCAAAACCAGCAGCATTTTAGACTTAAGCGTGGTAAGTAATATCTGATTATTCTCTTCCTGATCAGTAAATAAAGATTCAGCCCTAATCCCAGTGAAGTCAATGAAACATCTTTGACTTGTAAATGGTATTGACTAAGGACCTTATGGGCAGTGATGATATAGATGTATAAATGTACAAAAACATGCTTTCTGCCCTACCAGTGACAACCTATTAGATATTTTTAAATGTTTCCTCAGCCAAACAACACAAATCAAACAGTCCGGTATGTAATTTTTATTGGTACCAAAACAATAGACACTGCCCATGTTAAATATTAACCAATATCTTAAGGGATGAGTGGAGGAACATTTTGGAGAGAATTACTGTTTCATTAGCTGGATGTAAATTTAAATATGCTGCTGTTTTAATAACTTCCAGACACATAGATTCCTTTCTAGTAAACACTGCAGACCTATTCTGAAACTGGAAGCTTTTATTCCAGCATTCATTTTGACCAATTGACAATTAAAATATAGCTTTGTGTTGCTCAGTATTATAACTGTTTTTCATATCTCAGTAGTACGGCTTGCATCAAGGTAAGCTGAATGGCTGTGCTGAATTGCACCAATTATGCAACTAATAAAATTACAGGGGTGGGTCACAAAAAGTTTTTCAGAGGCCATAAAATAAACAGAGATGTTGACTGGAAAAAAAAATAAAGAAAGAAATCTGTGCCAAGTATGTTAGTATTTAAAAAAGAAAGCAGTGAATAAATTGGTATTTATGCTAAGATCTGCCAGAGGCATAGTTTGGAAAGCCAGACATTCATGAATGAGAACTAGAAAACACTCATACATAAAAGCATGAGTATGTGGAGAGATCTATTACATCATGTATAATCACACAGAAAACACTTTACTTTTGGGTAATGTGCTTCACTCATGTCTATCGAAGAAAATGAAACTTTCTTAACATATGTAAAAAATTATCACAAATACAGTGGTACATTTGGTTTGCAATGATATGCAGGCACACAGATGAAATGAACAGGAATGGATGAGAAGTGAGGAATGCCAGTTTCCATGCTGGAATCAGATCACTGCCAAGCAAGTGGAGATCATCTTCATGGACTTTTTCCTCTTCATTTTTAAGAGCACAGTATCAGAGAGGTACTATGAAAAATCTTGAACCTACAAGCTAGGAGATGTGGCCGCCATGCTGAAACCATATTTGAGTAATTTCTAATTGGCAGTACTTTGTAGTGTCCCTAGTACAGGGGGGACAAGTTGGAATACGCAGTAGCCCCAGACTTCCTACATAGGAAGACCTTGTTCTTAGCAATCCTTCCTTTCCAGACATTTCTTTCTGCAAGACCAGCAACCCTGATCTTTCACACCAGCCAATGAACAAAGTATGTTTTGTACTGTACTGCACAGGTCCTGTTGCAACTAGTAAAATATAGATGCAAAATCTTCCAGGTGTACTTCCTGAGGCACAATCTGTCCAGATGGAGGAATGCATCTCTGCACCCCTAACGGGTGTAAAGATGTACTTTAGAAATATTATTTACTCCACAGCATGAGTTTATCAACTCAACCTGATAAAGGCTATTCCCTGTTTGTAAGATGAGGTAACAGGACTGGTGAAGAACTGGCCAGTTAAACGAGGACTAAATTTACAAGCACCAGGAACAGATTTAATGGAATGAATAATGAGATCCCTTGCTGTGAAGCTGAAACATTATTAGCAGTCAAGATTGGCTATATGGCACATATCCCTTCTTTTTCTGGAGCTACACAACAAGGTCACCTTTATCAGGTGACGAGTGACAGCGGTATGACCCACTCAGTTTGAGGCCTATACAAACCTTGAGAAGAGTGCCTTCACATTTTGGATGCTAGCACTTCTGAATGCAAAACCCATTCTATTGCAGGCCTTGCTATTAGTTCACAGAAGCTGGAGAGTTCAGATGTTCAGAGTTCTGTCATGGTTTCACTACTAATCAAAGAAAAGAGAATAAATAGACTCTTGAAAATATAGAAGAAAGCATCTAGAATTTCAAAATTAATTAATGCAAATGGAGAAATATCTTCTACCACTTTCTAAATTTATTCAAGACTACTAACTCCAGCAACAAATCAAAGCAGGTAATGAAAGCAATTATGACAGAGATGAAAAGTGTAGTTTAAAATAATTTGTTTTGTTAGCTATATACCAAAGGAAGATATTACTGGCCAGGAAAGCAGACAGAGCATCAAGAAGCTGGAAAGGGATTTAAAGGGGCATTCAGTTTGTGGATCATTCTGATGATTCTTCTATGGGGACAGACTTAGCCAAGTGCAAAATATACCTACCATAGCTGTGCAGCATTAATTAAATCCTGCTCAAGAGATCAGTGAAAGTTTTCCTAAATCCTAATACTGGGAGACAATGGGATGGTTACAGATCTGAGATAACAGCGATGCTATTCACCAAGTGTTCATAGTAAAAGCAAAAT